CAATCTCTTAACCTCTTTTGTTTTGGCGAGACAATCTCTTAACCTCTTTTGTTTTGGCCTCTGGGGGCTGGGGCGGGGTGGGGGGGGGGGACTTGGGACAGTGCATAACAGAACCGTTAGCACAGGGGGCACTCGGGGGTGGGAGGGCCCCAAAGACGGCAGTGACAGCTCAAGACCTAGTGACACACGGAGGCCGCAGGTCTGTCCCGTGCAGGTTGGCAGGGTGCGGGACGGGCGCCTGGCATGTCACACGCACCCTGGTCCAGCTGCGCACAGGCCGGGCCTCGCAGGCCCACGTGACCCCCGTACCGTCTCACACTCGTGCCTAAATGCACCCTGGAGGGCGGCAGCCTCACGGGACATAGGCCCTGTGGACTGAGCGCTTCCTCGCACGGCAAACTCTGCCCTTTCTATGGTGACAAGCCTGACTTTTATCTTCTTTAAGTTGGCTTCAAATACAAAAAAAAAAAAAAAAAAAAAACCACCCGAAAAAAAAAAAAAAAGACCAAACTGGCTTCAAAGTGGGAGTTTCACATGCCCCCCCCCTCCTTTGTGCATTCATCTCAAGGGTTAGCACTTCTGATGGAGGGGCCCCCGGCCCCTCACTTCCCCAGAACGAGAGACGGAGGCCCTGCCTGGAAAGGAGGACGTGAAGAAGCCGTAACCGGGGACCCCGCAGCCGTGTGGCGTGACGGGCAGAGCAGGGCTCCGGCCCTGTGCGTCCCGGGATGAGGTGCTCGGCCTCCTAGGGCCCAGTTCACCATCCGCACCACCGGCTGAGGGCGGCCCTCCGTCCAGGAGTGCCCGTGAGGCCCGATGGCGCACCGTGGGGACCAAGCTGGGGGCTGCCTGGCCGAGGCAACGGGGCCGCTGGGCTCTCCCCAACCAGGCACCTGCCGGGCTGAGGCAAACCAGACCAGGCACCCGTCAGGCCGCACCCCGCCCCGCCCCAGGCCTGGGTTATACGCCCTCTCTCCAGCCTCCTCGCAAAAAGGCTGTGTGCGTCCTTCTAAGGCTTAGGAAAACCCAGGAATGGCACAGCAGCAGAATCTTCCTTTACCTTCTGCGTGTTCTCACTCACTGGCCCTATACTCCTCTGGACCTCTCATCTGCTACGCCTGAGAGTCGGGACTCTTCCCAGCCCTCCCCTGGGTACAGGGCAGTGCTGGCAACAGAGGCCGGCACAGCCCGAGTCGGGAGCGGAGGCCTTTGACGACGTGACTTCGTTCTGTCCACACAACGGCCCCACGGGGCGCAAGTTCCCGGCCTCGGTCCTGCTCTGCTCCTCCCCTGACTGTGCTCACACGCAGCAGCACGCGATGGGGCGCAGGTGGGAGCGGGGGCTGTAGAAGGGTGGGCACAGGCTGCCTCGAGCGCGGCCTCGGGGTCAGCGGGCAAGCTACTCCCTCGCCATGTCACCGACACTTCAGGGCCGTTAGCGGCCCCGCGTGGCCGCACGGACGGGTGGTGAACACGGGGTGACCCCGATTCCAGGGGCCGCCCGGGAGCCAGAAGCCCAGGTGATCTCAGTGAGCATTCCGGACGGAGGGGTTGGTGCTGCGGGAGAGAACGGCTGAAGCCTCCCCTGCTGGCGGGGTCCAGGAGTGGAGGGAGTGGTCGCTCTGACCTCCTCCCCCAAGGGGCCCCCCAGGCGGTGCCTCTTTCATGCGCCCGGTCCTCCACGGTCCGTGGGGACTCCCAACACCGAGCCGCGCAAGGCCTGGCGCGCTCGTCCCCATGCTTCAGGTGAGGAAACTAGTTCAGAGAGATTAAGACCCGCCAAAGCTCACCCGGCACAGCCAGGGCTAGGACTCCGGTGAACAGCCTCTTTCTCTGCCCCCAAGTGTTGGCCAACAGAGGTTTCCTGCAGCGGATGCGCTCAAGGTACCCGCCAGCTCCGTCCTCCTCACGAAGGGGGAGAACGCTGGGCTAACCCGAGCACAAGGTGGCTTTTTGCCTTCACGGTCACTACCGTATCCTGTTCTCGTTTTGTGTCTGAGATACAGGCGTCCCATCTCCCGGCCAGTGATCAACCGACCCCAGCCCCCCAGCAAAGCACTCTGACCGGGAAGTACCAGTTAGTTACAAAGCGATTACCGGCAAAGGTGCCCCGACGGTCAGGGACTGTCTCGACGACTTCAGCTCAGCGTCACTGGGCACTGGGAGAGGTTTTCCTTGGAGAAATACTGGGGTACCAGGCGGGTACCAGGCGCAAGCAGGAGACGGGCCCGGCTCAGCGCCTGGCATCACAACGCACGCGGGACATCACAGAAATGAGGCGCCTCCACGGGAGGCCTCCCAGGCGCCAGGCACCAGGCTCGGCGCTTTACACACACCCTTCTCATCGAATCTTCCTGCCGGTCCCAGAGGGGGACGGTCCCCATCTCTCCTAGGGGAGGGCACTGAGTTCGGGAGGCTGCGGTACCCCCAGTCCACGGAACCTGGAGGTGGCAGCTTACGCTCCGACCAGGTGTCGGATTCTGGAGATCAAGCTCTTCACGGCCGTATGGCCCGTTCGTCTCGTGACCAGAAGGGGAGGCCAGGCCGGGGTGGAAGCAGAGCGGAGGCCGAGAGGCCCAAGGCCCAGCCCTGCAACGGGCTGATGAGAGCTTTCTCTCCATCTCCGCCTGCCCCCTCGGTGCCGAGCACAGAAGGACACCTGGTCCCTGGAGAAGGCCGAGCGGGAGCTCGGCTGAGTGTGGGGAGCGGGTGCGGATAGGCCCATCTGGAGGGCTCTGAAGAACGCCATCTTTTCTCCCCAGGGAAGGGGTTGTGCTTCTGTTTCCCATCGGTGGGGGCCAGTGGGAGGCTGCTCAGGGGTGTGGGGACCTCTGCCTGTCCCCTCACTGCCAGGAAGGGCGAGGCAGATAACTTCACTGCCCGCAGAATGTGTATACGTTGCAGGGTGGGAGGCAGAGCACAGGCTTCTGATGTGTACATGGGGAAGTGGGGCCCTGAGAAGAGAAATGAACTCTTCGGAATGAACCTCAAGCCTGTGGACAGAGGGAGGGGTTCTGGGCTCAAAGCCTAGTGCTGACACTTACAACCCCGTGCCCTGGAGTGGCTTATCTGGCCTCCCGAGGCTTCAGCAGCTTTACCTGTAAAATGAGGACCGTAATCCCTAAGCCTCAGAGGGCTGGGCAGGGACCGAGCGAGGCCACACACAGAGGCGGCCGGCGCAGGAAGGCGCCCGGCAGAGTGGCTTTCGACAACATGGCTGCCAAGCAGCCTTCTTTCCTCTGTGGATTTGGACACACCCGGTGTTCAATCCCTTCCGGATCACTTCTCACTTTGGACTTGCTGATTTCTTTCTCGAAGTTTCCCATCAGGGAGGCTTACGCAAATCCAGGCTTACCGCCCGCACTTTTTCAGGGTCCTGGCGTTTCTGATCGGTCTTAGGAAGAAAAAGAATGTACGACAAAGCTACCAGAGACACTTGGGTCTTCTCTGATGCACAGAGGTGGCGTGTGAGGGTGCGGGCCCTTAGCTGAGTAGCAGAGGCCGCAGGGACCGCAGGCTCCCGACTGCCAGGCCCAGATCCACCCCAGGGGCCGCGGGCCAGCGCACTGGTGGTTTC